ATTAAAATATATTTAATATGGTGTGTGTAGGTGCATCATCTGAAATACAGGGAATTATTTTGGCAAAAGCAAACAAAACAACAGATGAGCAACTGAATTGTGTAAGAAATTTCTGCCTTGCTACCTAGGTCAGCCGTTTCTCACTGAAATTTTAAGTTTCACTGAATGTTTAAGGCATCAGTTTAGTATCAGAGGGATAAGGGGAAAGAAAATTACTCTATTAAGATATGATCTTGGCTGCCTTTGCTGGTATTTCCACAGAATTGATTATTTTAAAATACATAATAATAATTATAAAACTGTGAACAATAGTTTATGTTTTAATGCTGTCATTACAACTGTACATAGTGGTTTTAAAATCAAAACTATATTTAAAACATTTTCGGTGTATTTGGATAGGCTTTGTAAGGATAGATTTTATACCTATGACTGGAGCTTTATACCAATATGTAGTAATAAATGAAAAAGCACAATATTATTATAGTCTGTGTTCAGTTCAACAAAACAAATTGCAACAATTTAGCAAAAATAAAGAGAGGAGGAAGAGAGACTAATTTCAGAAGACTCTCTGTTTCTTCTGATGCCTTGGCAATAAATATTTTATGCAATATATAAAGCTGAAAATCATTACCATGCTCCTCCTCAAAACACCCAAGTGGAAGAATTATAAAGTTTATATATATGTAAATCTAAATATCCACATGACCAAGGCTTTATGTTTTGCCATGCCAAGAGACAAATACTTGTAATTGCTTCTAGTTCTCCAATTAACACGTGTAGAGGCTGTGCTGAGTCTATAGCAAGTTTCCTAAAAGTCAATAGGATTTGCTCTCTGAAAGCAAATCAGTTTTGCATAATACAAAATAAAGGCCTATATATTTAAGATGACCATTAAGCAACAAAACAGAGCAATAAAGGAGAAAATACAAAAACGTATGCATGATGTCAAATATGTAACTTAAATATTAATTACAATATTACAGAGAGAGCAAAACCAAGCTTCCCTAAAAACACTGTATTTCAGTTGATATTTTCTGTTCTCCCTTGGCTTCCTGCTCCCCCCGCAGTGGTCTGCCTGGACCTGCTGGTCCTGTGTTTCTCCTCAGAGCAGGCCCCAGGTGGCTGCTTGTGGAGCTGTCACCTGGGGCCTGTGCTAGCAGCTCGGCTGTGCAGGTGCACAGGCCTGGAACTGGGCACTGGCCTTAGAGCTTGTTCTCTTGAAATGCTGATGGCCTTTCAGCTCCAGGAAGCTCTGCCTTCAGACGTGTGTGTCCTTGGAGAGACTCGTTCACCTTTTCATTCAGTTCCCCAAGAAAACAAGGCAAGCACAAATGCATGCACATACCCAGATCTGTCTATTCCTACAATTAACTTCAAACTCACTGACTAATTTCAGGTAAGTTAGACAGCAAGGTAAGGTCTCAGGTGGATGAGTTTCTCTACAGCCACCCAAGCAGAGTGCGGAGACCTTATCACTGCTTCTCATGTGGGACCTAATCCTGAGCGGGGCTGCAGCCTGCACAGAAAGTTTGTGTTCAATATGATTTTGTAATGGAAAGAAACAGGAACAGAAAGAAATCGATATGATTTTGTAATAGAAAGAAACAGGAAGGGAGATGCAATTTGTTATTGAGAACTTTGTAAACTGGCAGAAGGGAAGGGAGTGGGAACTATTTGATTTAATAGATATCCTGGTATCCATCCTGAAGCCCTACAGTGTGTACCCTGCCAGACTGGAACGTGTTTTGATGATTTCTAGATGATGTTTAGACATTGGCTAATCAGAGTGTTTAGAAATGATACCTATGAGATTTGCCTGTACTGGCATCAAGGATATTTAAAAGCCATTTTTTAGGTCATTTTCATATTAATGATGTTATAAATGTGGAACTAGCAGGCATGGAAGTGAACTGGTTTTGGTCATTAAAATAGCTCACCTATACTGTAGTGAACATATAAAGAAGTGTGTAGATGTGATGATTGGAATTGCAAAAAGTGTTATAGAAAGAGCTATTTGTAGATCTTCCTGAAGTAATAGGTTTACCATTTAGGAAGTTATAACTCCGAAATGGACAACAAAATGCTGGCCAAGTTTTGCTTTGGAAAGCATTTCTTTTGAGTGATTGCAAGGGTGCCAGGAGGAAAGAATTTTGTCTCTTAATTTCTGCTGAAGTAAATCTGTGGCTTTTTGTAATAATCTGAATGTATCTCATCAGAGTGGAACCTAAACAATATTAATTAGCCTTTAATCTAATCTAATACAGCGGCCTTACCCATCATGAGATAGAAATCAGTCAGTCATTAGGGGAAAAAAAAAAGGAATTTTCATTAATTTACTATTCAGAAAACTTTTTCTGTAGCCAGAGTAAGGAAGAGGACCCTTATGTAGTTTAAAAAAATTAAAAATAGAGTATGATACCTTAAAATAGAGTATGAATATCCATATGTTATTAAATCAATAGGAGAAGATGCTATTAACAGTTGGATACAGTTTTAATATGAAGTACCCTCAGTTATATGCCATTTAAAAGGAGTATAAACAATTTATAATGCCAAGTTTCTAAAATTTATTGCACCCTTGAGCGTCACACAGTATAACAGATATTACAACCTACACATAGCCACGTGTAACGTCTAACCATGGCACATAGCCATGTGTAACGACTGCACATCAGCAGTGCGTAAATTAAGCATAAATTAAGTGCAAACATTTTCCAGCATCACTAACAAAGCATTATTTTAAATTGTCCATTTAGAAAGCTTCAAAGTCATATTTTTTCTTCTTTAAATAAATATCCTTTTATTTTCAAGTGCAGTCTGATCTGTTAGGGAACCTTATTTAAACCATAGCCACAAGAACTGATATAGATAGCTCTTTCTATTATCACAAATATAATTTCATAAGTCAAAGCTACCATGCACTTCTGATTACTCTTTAGAGCAAATTATTTACATATATTATTTGCTTAATTTCTGCAACCCACTCACATATGCTAAGTTTTCATCATTAGATCTGTTAAGTCCAGAAGACTTCCTGAGCCAGACAGCTCCCATATGCAGAGAAGAGAAATCCCTTCCATTAACTAGCAGCTTGGATCTCTAACAATAAGACTTTACACGCACTCAGTAAAGCTGCCGTGAGGAATACTTGTGTGGCCGGGGGCTGGTGCCCACGTGCACGAGAGCCGCGCGGGGGCTGAGGGAGCAGAGCACGGTGCAGCCGGCAGCCGGGGCGCACGCTCCGGCACCGCGTTCCCAGCGTGTCGGCATCCCCTGCAATGGGCTTCAGGGGGCAGGAGGCGGGGTGAGATGTCTTGTATAGCTCAAGGATATAGTTTTGGCTTCTTGGAGGAGATAAAACATGTTGACGTTCTTGCCATTGGAGTTTCCAGGCTGTGCAAGAATAAAGAGATGTAGCAAGGAGAATCCTCTAGCGGATTAATAAGGACACATTAGCAGCTGAATCCATGTATGCTTCATATAGTAAAGCTTAGAAAATTGTCAAAGGGAATCAAAAAAATACAGATCTTGTATATGTGAATAGATTTCAGAATTACTCTCCAGGTGAGACAGAAAGCATGTTGAATGATAGTCATTAAAACCTAACAAAAACAGATAAATACTCAGAGAAAGGCAACTTTGCAAATGTGGTCTTGAAGTTCTTATCTGTATACCTTAGGCCTTCAAGAGAAGAGCTAAGGATGATTGCTTGCAAACAAAAATTCAAACGTCTTAACCTCCATTCCGCCTTAAAGAATCATGTCAGAGTGAAGCAGCACTAGAGGGGATCTCGTATCATTACACTCTGCCCCAAGGCAGGATTAACAAGGTCTGTGTCACTTCTGATAGATGTTTGGTAACATCTTCTTAGAAACTTTGCCTGCTGGAGACTTTTTAAACTCCCTAGGCAGTCTATTGCAGTGCTTAGTTATCTTGACTCTCAAAAAGGTTTTCCAATGTTTGCTTCCTTTTCTGCCTGAAGATGAGATTACAGCAAAGAAAGATTGACAGCTCTTTTCTCAGATGACACTGAAAACTTAAATTAGCCTGAATACCACCCCCTTCCTGCCCTCATCCTCACAGTCCCACCTCTTCCCAACTACTAGCATCAGTATTCCTGCAACCAACAGGGAGTGGGCTCAGAGAGATAACCCAGGGTTTTTTTGGTTGTTGGGTTGGGTTGCATTTATTTTTGATAACACTACTTTCTGGAAAGATCAGCTGCCTAAACTATCAGGAGAAAGGACAGATCGCAGCAGTCTTGGTTTATAGCAGCTTGAATTGCTCTGGGATTGCACTGCTGGTTATCACATGCTGTACTGTTTGCCTACTGCGGCACCCTCAGCTTAATGCAATCATAGGTTTTCTAATGTTTGAAGATGAGGAAGATCCTAGGCCAGTATCATTAAACCCGGATACCTCTATTAGGCCCTGAAACTGTGCCCAGGGTCTACATAAAGCATTTTTTTTTTTTTTCCCACATGCTTTGGACTTCACAGTAAGATGGTGATGTTTCAGTTGAGCAATTCTTAAGAGACTAATCACTGATTCAGAGGTTTAAATCCACACACTCAGCTTTGAAATAAATACAAGACTAAAACCAAGCCCAGAGCTTTAAGACCACAAGTATGCAACTGTATGATGTGAAACTGAGGAAAATATTTTCTTTTTCTTCAGAAATATAGCTAACTCTAAACTTATCTGCATGAGATGATATTATAGAGTCCCAAATTGCATGCACAGTTTTTGCCGTCATCTAATTAATTCTCAAAAAAATCATAAAACTTGTTGCTAGAAGAGTGGTGGGTGAAGCCGCGCAGGGGGAATGTGAACGAGCACTGCAGTTGCTGCGCGTTCGCAGTAGCCGTCGGGTGCCTCTCGCTCCCCGTGCCGAGAGCTGCAGCCTCGCGCCCCTCCAGCGCCGGCCGCTGCTTGCCGAGGGGCATGAGTTTCCTACATGGAGGCTGCGCGAGGGATGGCCGTGTGTAACTCAGCGTCGCTTATGCCTCTGCAGCGGGGTGACAGGGTCGCTCACCCCCACCGAGCCCTGTCAAGGGGGTAATTGTGTCCAGGGATATCTGTCCCTCACAATCAAATGGCAAAGTGGCAGGCATGGGAGGGCACTTGGGAGCAGCCTCTGTAGGAGGAATCGCAGGCCTTTTCTCCGCCGGTGGCTCCTCACTGCTCCGTTCTCGCTGGAGGCGCATGGCGAGGGGCGTGGGCTGCACCCAGGCGGCCAGGGCAGCAGGCGGCACCGGGGATGAGGCAGCTGCCTCCTTCTGGCACGTGGTGTCGTGGTGGTAGGACCCCAGCTCGTTGCTGAAGTTGACCCTCTCCACGGTGGACCTGGCAGTGCCACAGCAGAAGCACCGGCAGCCCAGGAGGCTGCTGAACGCCCGCCTGAAGTCCGCGTTGAAGGCGTAGATCACGGGGTTCACGGAGGAGTTGGCCCAGCCAAACCATGTGAAGATGTTGAAGACGGTCTGGCTGATGCAGGGAGAGGGCTCCTCACGGCTGCTCTCCGGCACAGGCTGGCAGAAAGGCAGCAGGCAGTTGAGCAGGAAGAAGGGCAGCCAGCAGCAAACGAAGACGCCCATGATGATGGACAGGGTCTGCAGCACCTTGGTCTCCTTGCGCAGGCAGCTCCGCAAGGAGGACGCAGGCTCCTTGCCAAGAGCTGGGCACTGCCCCACCGCGCGCTCGAGGCTGGAGATGCGGCGGATCTGGGCCTGGGCGATACGGTAGATGCGGCTGTAGGTGATGATCATGATGGCCACCGGGATGTAGAAGCTGATGAGGGAGGAGGTGATGGCGTAAGCACGGTTCAAGCGGACGTCACAGCGGGGCATCCCAGGCAACTGGGACCCCAGAGGCCTCCTGTCCGGGGTTTTATGCCAGTGTAGCTGCACAGGAATGAAGGAGATGAGGATGGAGAGGGCCCAAGCCATGGCTATCATGGCGCAGGCCAGGCGCTGCGTCATCCGGCGCTCGTAGCGGAAGGGGCTGGCAATGGCCCAGTACCGGTCCAGGCTGATGATGCAGAGGTGGAGGATGGAGGCGGTGGAGCACATGATGTCGAAGGCCACCCAGGTATCACAGAAGCGGCTGCCGAAAAGCCACAAGCCCCCGGCCACCTCGGTGACGGCCCTCCAGGGCATCACCAGCAGGGCCACGCACAGGTCGGAGACGGCCAGCGAGAGCACGAACCAGTTGGTGACCTTGTTGCGCAGGTGGCGGAAGCGCAGCACGGCGGCGCACACGAGCGCGTTGCCCAGCACCGTGCCGAGCACCAGGGCGCCCAGCAGGCAGCCCGTGAGCGCCCGCAGCGCCTCCATGCAGGGGCGCCCGCCGCGCCGCGCCGCGCATCTCGC